AAATATTTATGCAATCATATAGTATTATGGGGGAAGTTATGGTAAGGAATGGGCGGACAAAACAAAACCAAAAAAGCATTGAATATCATGAGAGTCGGCGAACCGATAGGTCAGACACTTGTTATATATATGGAAAGTCTGGTTGGGATCCGACCGACCGGTGCGGAGAGCCCACAGACCATCACATATACTGGAAGAGCCATACAATAAACTAATAATAAATTAAAATTTTTATGTGTCTGTCCCGTCGGTTCCCCATCTCTGAACACAACACTAGAGAGCACCTGACGTTCAGATGTTAGGGAACGGGTCATTGATATTCTGATCGCAATTTTATTTTGTAGACATGTTTTCTCTCTCATTGAGTAAACCATTGAAACAATTCATTGACATCTGAAATGGTATGGAAGAGCTGTATGTATATTGAGGGCCGACATGTAAAAAGAGAAATCGTGTGCCACTCGTATGGAAAGACAGTTATGGGTACTGGAAGTTATGGGCCACCTCTTTGAGACATTATATATTTATCTGTATTTATATATAAAGTATTAATACATTATATTTGATATAATGAATTAGTATTTCAAGTTATGAAAACTTTTTGGATCGCATATATTCTCAGTGATTAATAATAATATATTTATTATTAGTTTATATATTGTTTATGGTATTTGTTTTTGGTATCATTTGGCGTTTTTAATTTAAATACACTGTTTTTGTTAGTTTTGTTTTTGAATTTTAAAAATCGCATTCAATATATGACATACAAATCTTTTCGCAAATGTAATAATAATTTACATTTAAATCGCTTTTTGCGGCTAATATTTGTGGCCATAAAATAATTTTTACTCATAATTTATTTGTGGTTTTTGTTTTTTGGTTTTGAATGCTTTTCACTGTCTATATGTATAACTCATTGTCTGTAATAAATTGAAGCAAAAAATTATGTTTTTGAAAAAAACTAAGAATAAAATTAAGACTCAAAGAGTTTTTTGCTATAAGTTTGCCTATGATTTAGTATTCAGTATAATGTAAGCGCCAATGAATTAAAATGTATACTAAAAACATAATAATAATAAATATAAATAAATAAATATTAAATTCCAAAGAGGTTTTGGCCGTCGAGAGAGCTCAGGTGGTCCGACCATATCGTGAGCAACCTGTGCGATCACGTGTGTAGGTATGCCATAGGTTTAGTATGAATAGCACCGGCAGTTATTCAGTCGCGTCCAGACGTTTATAGTAATGATATGTAGCGCACAATAAGTAGAAGAATAAGTAGTTTTTATCCATATATTCGAGTCGATGGACAGGCAGTCAGTCGATAGATAGAGATATTATTAAAGGGTTTTTGATTGAAGGGAAAGACAACAAAAATATATATGTTTTTCGATGACATATCTTATTCTTCGGGAGTTATTCAGTGGTTAGCCATCAGTCGAGACATACAAAGAGAAAACTTTGTCAGCAATTGGTTTCTCGCAAACTCTTCACAAAATAATAGTTTTGTTTCCAAACGTATGCATCGATAGAGAAATAGTTGTCTAATAATAATAAAGTAAACGAAATGATGGTATGATATGAATGAATGTCTACTCGATTCCGGTGTAGGAATTGGACGACAATTTTATTCTCGTTATTATTATTACAGAAAACGACAGTATATTTGCTTTTCGTTTTTGAATTTCATTTGCATTTCTTGTTATTAGTTATTAGTAGTAATAGTAATCACATTAAACACAACACTATTTATATATAGATTCTGTTCACATATATTTATATATTAATTAAAAACGCGATAAACGGATGAAGTGTTGAGAGGTTTTGAAGATTTATTTGTTTTAAAGTCAATATATTTTCATAATTATTATATACAGGGTTTTCCTAATTGTCGAACCATTTCTTATCTCATTTTCTTGTATACTTTGAGTTCATCTCCAAAAATAATGGTTTCATTCAGTTTTATAATGAATTGTATTTCAAATAAATGAATGATCAGCTGTTTTCACATTTATTACTATTGTTTTTGCCGTTTTTATATTTAATTATATTATATAAAATCAATTTATATATATATGTATATCATTTAGAAAAAGTTTTTTTGTTTCTATTTATAGTCTTATTGTCTGAAAATGTATTTTTGTTTATATTTTCAATTTGTTTTTCACGTTTGAATTTAAATTAAATTAAAAAATAATAATAACTTTTTTGTTTTGTCGGTTGTTTTCCACGTGTATTGACTTAGTTTTGCTTCAGTAGTTCCGGAGGAATAGAGCACTGAATATATGGTAATAACATACCAATGAAGTCGACTAATGATATTCAGGGCAAATTTAACATTTCGGTAGTGTTTGAATTGATGATCAAAATAGTAGTAAATGAAAAAATTATAGAAAATATTTTTGTTTCTTGTTTTAAATGTCGTGATTATCATTACATTGTATTCACAGAAAAATTATTGTTATCATTATTACTCTTATATTAATCGTTAAAAATTCAAAAACACAACAAAATTGTTTATCAATTAATGTCATTATCTCTGCATTTAATGGTTATTTGCATTTCATTCTTGAGGTCACATCCAAAAAGTTTTATCTGTAGCCCCACTGAACGGGATATATATATAACAAAAATGTCTGTCCATTCAGCGGTGGACGCACAGAATGTCTGTCCGTTTTTCAAGAATATATAACACAAACAAAAAACAACACAAAAATTCATCGACTAATAGGCATTCATACGAGAAAGCCTTCCGGTGTGCCGATACTTGTCTGTAATCGCAGGGCTTGGATGCCATTCATGAGCTTTTTCTGATGGCTAACGAGGGTCACCCCTATGATGGCCAGGTCTTGGGCAGTGAGCCGGGCCACTGCGGCCAAGTTGGTCACACCTGACTGTTCAAAGTTAACCCTGTACCGGGTCATCTTGATACTGGCCAACCACTCGTCCACAGACTTGAATTGTATGACATCGGGTATACACATCGTGTTGAGCTCACCGAACGGGTCCAGTGTTAGCCTACAGGTGCCGCACAGGGAGATGATAGTAACAAAAATGTTAGATTAATTGTCCCATAAATCAGTGGTTTTTTTTCGTTGTAAGGAATAGTAATAATAATCGCAATAAATATTGAATAATAAGCAAAAATAAAATATTTGTGTTTTGAATAGAAAATGTAAAATTAATTTTATTTTCAGTGCCTTTATGTGTGTTAAGAAAATCATTGCAAAAGGTATAGGAATTCGCGTATAATATGCTAATTATATTCACAAAAACTTGAGATGACATCCCATTTAAAATTACTACCGAAATGGGAAACAAAAATATGTGTTATTTATGCGAAAATATATATCTAGGAAAAAAGGTGTAACACTAATGACTGGTTTATATAATTTTGTGTCTGAAATAAATATAACAAAAAATAGATTTTCATTGATTCGTATAAAACTCGTAAAAAACTATTCGCTATTGAAATGTAATAATACGATAAATATAAACGGTTTTAATTTATGATCAGAAATTTTATACCCTTTTCAATGATTTACACTCTAATAGGAGGGGCCGAGTCTGGAGGGGTATTGAGAGAAGTAAAGAGAGAAAAACATTTTTGGGATAAAAACTAAGAATCAAATCATTTAAATGTAAATTTTTCAACAAAAAAGATATAAATAACATAAAACGGAAAACATATATAAATTACATTTGAATTGAATTTGAAAAAGGGATTGAAATCTTATAAAACATATCATATGTTGCATAATACGGGCTAAACAAACAGTCAGACAGACTGGGACTGGGAGGGTAGACACTACATACATAATAAGGAGTTAACCTCGAAATCAAAAGCTTATATGTTTATAAGATGTTAAAGAAATTGCATTAAAATTATATTTTTTTGTGGGTTAAAAGTTAACGCTTAAAAACAATGCGAGAATAATATTATAGCAAACGCTAAGAAAATTACATTAAAATGCAATTAAATTCAAACCGCGCTATAGTACCGGCAAAAAGGCGTCGAAAAATAAAATTATAGATAAGAATATATCAAAAAATATGTATTTTTGCTCAAAAAATGTTAAACAAAAAACAGATTAATCATAAAATTAGTGCTCCAGACAGACATACCTCGTTGTTTTGCAGAGTTTTTGCAGATTTTCTGGACATTTAATTAGTTTATCTAATGTTTTAACAATTTGCGAGAACGTAGGCCTCATATTCCTATCTTTCTGCCAACAGTCCATTATTAGCTTATCGTATAACATCTCCGGACAGTCCTATATTACATACCGGTGCGGAAAGTAAGAGGTATTAGCAAAAAACAATGCAATCATTAATTATAATCAAGGAAAAAATTATGTTGCGAAATTTTTTTAGTGAAATATGTATACATAGAAAAAATATTCACGAATATTATGTAAGACTGTATTATACGGCGATAACTAAGTCATAGGGTTTCATACCATCTGCCAGTGCTCTCAATCAAAGTATATACACTAAAACTAAGCACATCCCTGGCCATCATCAGATCATTAGCAGTCATTAATTTCTATCTAAAGTGAGCGCCGACAGCTCTTTCCCGTCCCCCTCCCCCGTCCCCTACACTACAGTCATTGAAACTCGGATTTTAAAACATAGACTAAACACTCAAAACATATTAAATCCAAAAGATTTTCGTACATTTGAGATGTAAAAACTAATTATAAATTAAATATTTTTGTTTTTGATTTGTGATCCCATTCCCAATGTTGGAAACCATTTCTAATGCTAATGACTGATGAACTAAAAAACTTTACTAAAAAATTCTGGACTCAATAAATGCTAAATAAATAAAAGTTTTTATTTCGATACCAAAACCAAATACTATTCGTGAATATTGTCGGACAAGGACTATAAACAAGTGAACGGACATACCATTGGGGGTGGGAGTCGGTAGCCTTTCTCGATGCCTTTGATGACATCCTGGTTAGACCAGTTCCAATACGGCCGCTCCCCATAAGACATCACTTCNCTTTCTCGATGCCTTTGATGACATCCTGGTTAGACCAGTTCCAATACGGCCGCTCCCCATAAGACATCACTTCCCAGCAGACAATACCGAAGCTCCAGACGTCCGACGCGGACGTGAACTTTCTGAACGCTATGGCTTCGGGTGCCGTCCATCGCACTGGTATTTTGCCGCCCTATTAGTTTTAGTAGCATTAATGAAAAGTTAATACATTTATAATTAGCACATAATCAACAAATATAATAGACATGAGGGCACAGATACTTACTCTAGTAGTGTAGGCGCCTTCGGTGGCACTCTCGATCTCGCGGGACAGACCAAAGTCGGCTATTTTACACACCAGAGTCGAGTTCACCAATACATTCCTGGCCGCCAAGTCCTGTATGAATGTATGTCCAAACAAATGTATTAGATATAAATAAAAATGAAATGGATGAAAAAAATAAGTGGACATACCCGGTGGACGTAGTTCATTTCCGCTAAGTATTGCATTCCCGATGCGATGCCCCGTAACATACTGACCAACTGGACTGGCTGAAACTTGCCATCATTTGCCTGTATTAATAAACACAGCGTATAATAAATACCAGAATATTCTGAGTTAATATCCGAGTGGACATACCCTGAGGAATGCATCGAGTGATCCCTGTTCCATGAATTCCGTGATTATCATAATGGGGTTGCTTTTGGTGACCACTCCCTGAAGGTATATGACGTTCGGGTGATCGAACTGACCCATTATGGACGCCTCCGTTAGGAAGTCTAGTCTCGGTTTCTCAGCCGATGTCGGTTTCAATGTCTTGATGGCTACAGTCATCTCTGGTCGGCCGGGCAGTCGGAGTTTGCCTCGACATACGTCACCAAACTCTCCTATTATTCACAAATTAATTCATATTTAATTATTTAATAAACAAAAAGTAACAGAATATTCTTTAAAAAATTTACATAATTATACTCAAATTGATATTTAATAAGTCATTTTATTACTGTATATCTATTTAAATAGTTATTTTTATAAATGTATAAAATATACAGAATATTCTGCACATTATTTTGGACATGAGTACTGTATAAGACATAAGATTAATAGCAAACCTCCGCCAATGATGGCCTCAATGGTGATATTGGTGGCGTCGATCTCTTTGGTGAACTCCTTGACCGCCTGTTGGGGGTCCTCATAGGTGTGGGGGTCGACATAGGACCGGGATGTCGCGCAATGGGTGAACAGTGGCGTAGTCACCGAAAACGGCGAATTGACTGCAAATTAGGCATAAATAATACATTAAATAAATAAATGCTTTGAATTGATACTCAAAATCAGTGTTTATGCCATTAGTTCCGTGTTTATTCAAAATACACAGAAATAATAGCTAAACATTAAAATCCATTTTTCATTCAAAAAATCCTTTAATAAATAATACGATAAAAATATTATGTATTTTTAAGATCTCTTTGCGCTAAATATGAGTGAGTGAGAGAGAGAGAGAGAGAGAGAGAGAGTGCCACCGAAGGCGCCTACACTACTAGAGTAAGTATCTGTGCCCTCATGTCTATGATATTTGTTGATTATGTGCTAATTATAAATGTATTAACTTTTCATTGCCAGTCCAGTTGGTCAGTATGTTACGGGGCATCGCATCGGGAATGCAATACTTAGCGGAAATGAACTACGTCCACCGGGTATGTCCACTTATTTTTTTCATCCATTTCATTTTTATTTATATCTAACCCATTTGTTTGGACATACATTCATACAGGACTTGGCGGCCAGGAATGTATTGGTGAACTCAACTCTGGTGTGTAAAATAGCCGACTTTGGTCTGTCCCGCGAGATCGAGAGTGCCACCGAAGGCGCCTACACTACTAGAGTAAGTATCTGTGCCCTCATGTCTATGATATTTGTTGATTATGTGCTAATTATAAATGTATTAACTTTTCATTAATTCTACTAAACCTAATAGGGCGGCAAAATACCAGTGCGATGGACAGCACCCGAAGCCATAGCGTTCAGAAAGTTCACGTCCGCGTCGGACGTCTGGAGCTTCGGTATTGTCTGCTGGGAAGTGATGTCTTATGGGGAGCGGCCGTATTGGAACTGGTCTAACCAGGATGTCANATAGGGCGGCAAAATACCAGTGCGATGGACAGCACCCGAAGCCATAGCGTTCAGAAAGTTCACGTCCGCGTCGGACGTCTGGAGCTTCGGTATTGTCTGCTGGGAAGTGATGTCTTATGGGGAGCGGCCGTATTGGAACTGGTCTAACCAGGATGTCATCAAAGGCATCGAGAAAGGCTACCGACTCCCACCCCCAATGGTATGTCCGTTCACTTGTTTATAGTCCTTGTNGACGTCTGGAGCTTCGGTATTGTCTGCTGGGAAGTGATGTCTTATGGGGAGCGGCCGTATTGGAACTGGTCTAACCAGGATGTCATCAAAGGCATCGAGAAAGGCTACCGACTCCCACCCCCAATGGTATGTCCGTTCACTTGTTTATAGTCCTTGTGAGACAATATTCACGAATAGTATTTGGTTTTGATATCGAAATAAAAACTTTTATTTATTTAGCATTTATTGAGTCCAGAATTTTTTAGTAAAGTTTTTTAGTTCATCAGTCATTAGCATTAGAAATGGTTTCCAACATTGGGAATGGGTTCACAAATCAAAAACAAAAATATTTAATTTATAATTAGTTTTCACATCTCAAATGTACGAAAATCTTTTGGATTTAATATGTTTTGAGTGTTTAGTCTATGTTTTAAAATCCGAGTTTCAATGACTGTAGTGTAGGGGACGGGGGGAGGGGGACGGGAAAGAGCTGTCGGCGCTCACTTTAGATAGAAATTAATGACTGCTAATGATCTGATGATGGCCAGGGATGTGCTTAGTTTTAGTGTATATATTTTGATTGAGAGCACTGGCAGATGGTATGAAACCCTATGACTTAGTTATCGCCGTATATACAGTCTTACATAATATTCGTGAATATTTTTTCTATGTATACATATTTCACTGAAAAAATTTCGCAACATAATTTTTTCCTTGATTATAATTAATGATTGCATTGTTTTTTGCTAATACCTCTTACTTTCCGCACCGGTATGCAATATAGGACTGTCCGGAGATGTTATACGATAAGCTAATAATGGACTGTTGGCAGAAAGATAGGAATATGAGGCCTACGTTCTCGCAAATTGTTAAAACATTAGATAAACTAATTAAATGTCCAGAA